GATCCTGCCCTACCTCTCCTTCAGAGTAAAGCTCTTTATAGGTTTCTCACCTGCCTACAACCTGGAAGGTATTAGGGGGATGTTTGGTGTAATTGCAAGAATTCCTAAGGGACTCAGAAGAGTAGGTATTTATTCATTTGTTCTACTTGCATGCTCTCCATCTCCATGACTAGCCTAGGTGTCTAACAGTGCATGATTTTAACCCTCCACACCCTGTACACGTAGTCCCCAGTTTAAGAATGAGTTCCATTCCCAAGGCCAGCCTTTCAGTCAAATTGTTATATAAGCCGGAACAGCATTCTTGTATAATCCTATATAAGTAGTATTGTGCAATGAACTCAAACCATTATGTGTTGAATTCAAATCATTGTGTATTTAATTCAAATTTTGCTACAACAGGCTCCGTTCTTAACTACGGGTTGTCCTTAAACCAGGTGTTCTTAACCCGGGGACTACAGTACCTGTATGTCATGCTCTATGTCAGGCTTATTCTTATTAAACAATACTGATTATTAACAGTAATAAAACTTACTAAATATTTGGGAAGCATGTGATGGAAGAGTTCTTGTCAACTGGAAAACAGGTTGCCCACAAGTTCTGTACACCTTCAGCATCACAGATGACAATATTTTTTTTTCTGAGAATAATCAGTAAGATATATGACAGACATATTTACTGGAAACTTTTGGAGTTAGGTACCCTTAACAAAGGACATTTTCATCCCCCAAAACTGGATAGTAGACCTGTATCTACTATCTGTAAACCTGTACCTGTATGTTTTTTGCAGACAGTTCAGTTCTATTATCAGAAATGCTGACAGGCCTCAAAAGGGCCATGGGACCTCTGGCCCATTTTTGCAAAGAACATTCTTTACAGATCAATCATGAAAAGACAAAGGCATTGTATTTTGCAAGGGGTTTTTTAAAAATTGCATTGGTCTCTTGATTGTAATGGTATGTGGGAAAGACCTTGGGAGACTGGGCAAAGAGACATTGCCAAGGGAACCATCAGATAAGAGACAGCATAGCCCACAACTGAATAATGGGAAGGCAAGAGGCTCAGAAGAGACACTCCTTAATTTCTTGGGTTGTAAAGGGGATAGGGGAAGGGGAGGATTGTACTTTCAGACATGCAAGATTAATGTCAGCTTTGTGGGGCAAACCAGATAGGAATCACAACCAGATCAGCTAATTCTACTTTATTGTAAGGCTACAATGACAGAATCTTGCAATCTTGCAGAATCTCTCCGCTCAGGGAGTGGGGGGTGTCAGGCAAAGGCGCAATTCCCTACAGAATTTGACTGCCCCCCCTCCCCCCGGAAAGCAGAGAGGTTGGAGAAGGGATTTCAAGAGAGTACTGTAAGCTGTTGGCATAGCACACCCGTGGCTCCCAGCTCCGGTCTGCCAATGCAGTCGCTTTGCTTTCAATGTGTACAAGACCATAAGCAGTCACTCCAGCTTTCCAAAGGGTGGGAGAGTGGTTAGGAAGCAAACAAAAGCCAACGGTCTGAAACTGAGTGCTCTTGTCTCTTTCCAGCCAGAAAGTACAGTCTCAGTCACATGATTTCCCACTTAGGGACTCCTTTGCTTAGTGGCAGAGTTGCTGGTCCCAATTAGGATAATTAGGGGAGATCTACCAGTACATGACCCCAGGGACCTTGCTATTAGAACAGACTAAAAACAGTAAAAAGCAACCAGAATTAAAAACAACAAGAATAGCATACTTTTTTTCTTCTGGTTTAGAAGTAGTTGTTCCCAATTTGGTTGCAATGAAGTGCCAAATTCTACTGACTGAAATGTGTAGAATTTGTGGATTGTACAATGTGAATTTGTAGAGATGTGTAAAAAATGATCAGGTGGGGGAAATCTGGAGAAAGACTTCCATTGTTAACTTTAATACGGGGAAGGTAAAGTAGTACATGTTGGAAAAGGAAGAACGTGCTTGGAGTTGCAGGGTTTCTTTCTGATCATGTTAGGCACAATTATGTAAGTGTGATTTATCAATATTCATGGGCCATTTTTATTTTACAGCTAATATGGGGCACTAAGGAATTTTCCCTTTTTAGTGAGAGACAAAAAACCATCCTGACCTATGCATGCAGCTATCCAGTGATTGACCAGCTTTGCCTCCTAAATCTTTTCCTTGTAGGAGGATGGAATGAGAAAAACATAAATGTAGTAAGTAAGCTCTATTTTAATTTATACTTTCTACAAAGGAGGTACATGTCACCCATACAAGGTAGACCAGATCAGGAAACCAGAGTCCACAGGAAGATTAGAACTATAGCTTAACAGCAGTGTTTCTCAACCTTGGCATCTTTAAGATGTGTGGACTATGTTGACATTATAGACCAAAAATTATAGTGTTGGTTGAAGGGAGCAATGAGGTAATAGGCAGTGAAGGAGGAGTAGGAGCCAAATTAATTGCCTCCTTCAACAGTAGTAAAATATATTGCATTGGGTTCAGTGTTTGAAAGTTGCCAGCTTATTTACATGTAGAAGTGGGAGACTTCACTGGATATTCTCTTGGGATAAAGGAAAATTAATGGGGCTGTGCCAAGAGTAGATTCAGAGATTGGATTCAATGAAGAGTTGTTCAAACCAACCATTCAAGACCAAGGACTTGATCTGGATCACTGTATCAAATAAAATGGCCCTGAATGGATTCAGATATTCTACAGCTTTTCTGCTACTGGCTATTGCAACTTCCATTCTATATACCGAGAACATTGAAGAGAGTCGAATAACATTATTGGTTCTCTTCAGCCAATCAGATTTATCATTTCATTAGTAAGATCCAGTTTGGAGGAGTCATTAAGGGGCTGAACTAGAACCCAGGAGACTGTGTCTTTCCTTAGGCATGAAAGCCAGCTGGGTGACTTTGGGCCAGTCATTCTGTCTCAGCCCAACTTAGCTCACGGGGTTGTTTTGGGGAAAATAGGAAGTGGGATATAAATCCAAATAATAATGATCATGTCTCTGTCTATCTTAATAATAAAGTCTCTCTGGGGGATTTAGTCAACTCCAAGAGCTTTAGGCAGTGTGCACGTTTCCCACCCCCTCACAGTATTTCTCCCTCTAAAGAATCCTGTGATGGTTTCATCTAAAAGTTAGCAATTGACCTAAAGCTAACCATTGAAATTCCTGACTCAAGTTGAACCTGATCTTGGCTCAGCGGAGCCTACAGCCAGAGGTGATGCAGCAGGAAGCTAAGGGAGCTAAGATGGTGCACCCAATTATGCAATCAAAGTCTTACCCTTTGTAAGTATATGCAACACCATGTACTTACCACACAATCACACCCTCCATCTTGGCCCATTTGGCCCCCCACTGCCAATGGCCCTGCCTGCAGTACTGTGAGATAGAAGGGAGACGTCATCATTAACCCAAATTTATCTGTCAGCTGAGGGCAACTTGAGCAGATTTTCCCCTTGTCTGGTCCAAAACCTAAATAACTACACCACACATGTTCTTCTACAGACATTTCACAATATTGTAAGACAGATCAATTATAGGATGTTCTTTTTGTTCTGGTTGACCCTCTATTGCTAAAATGGATAACCACTTATATAGGCTTAATGCACCAAGTATGCAAACCCTCTCCAACCTTCCCAAAAAATAAAAAAAAGGAAGTCTGCTGACTCCTGGATGCAGAAAGGTTCCCTGTCCTGATCTGCAATCTCCCATAAAAATATACTAATTTTAATGTAATAAAGGCATTTTTAAAGGCATATAATAGGAAATCACTAACTCACATATTACTCCAATAGTGTTTTCCTATTGTCTGTGGTTATGTGGAACTTATTTATGAATGCGGAAGGGAGGGGGGCAGAGAAACAGCTTTTAGTTCATTAGTTATTTTTTTACAACAATTTATCTACAAACAATCCTTTCATATATTCCCTCACTCTAAAAATGTAAATTCCTTTTGTTTTTCAGAGTCGAGCGGATGTATATACTGCAATCTTTCCTGATCGTTCATCTGTAAAAAACATTAATCACTGGAGCCAGGTAGAGAGTGATTTTAGTTTGTTAGCTATTTTCTCAACAAATCAAGATTGAGATGTTAATGTTTTATGTTTAACTAAATGGTTGGTATGAGTGAAAAAGACATGATAACCAGGGGGGGTTATTTACAATAAAAATAAATTTCCAAAATCTAGGAGCAACTCATTTCCTGAAACCATTCTTTCACTATATCTAGCACCCAGATGAAACTGTTCACTACCAGTCTAGGGTATTCCTCATCTTCCGAGGAGTTTTCTTTTTGATTGTAAGATTTCACATTACATTTGGGTTAGTTCCTTTTATGAATATTATATATTTAATATTTTAAAATGTGTTCTCTGTGTTGCTGATTTAGTAAAATAAAATAAAAAATAGTAAAATAGTAAATATTTTTTTACTATTTTTTACTATGATTACTGTTTTTACTCTTTCAAAGAACTTTGTAA